ACGAATATGTGCTAATTATTCTGACTTATGTTCATAAAAAATTTTCTTTTTAATTTTCATTTAAGATATCACAAAACTTTATCGAAAAAAAATGTGTACCTGAAAGTAAAATTAAATTTTCATAAACATTTGAAGTTCAAATTTTTATAAGATTTGATATTCACTCATGTAGGGATATTATAATTTTACTCTTGTTGAAAAACGAATAACTGTAGATACCTGAAATTTGCACCATATATTTATCTTATGAATTCATATACTTTTACCCGTTTTGAGCTGTTCAAATTTTAATTTTTTTTTATGAATATCAATAAAGTTTTATTTGTTTTGTAAAAATGCGTGAAAATTTAATGCAAGGCTCCTGATATATTGTGGCAATAGCAGTTGAATAATATTAAAAATACATATGCACACAATCTTTTTATAAGCATATAGCATTTTGACAAAATGTATCAATTACATTTAAAAATCATTTTGTAGTTAAAAATTTATAGAATGTTCAACTTTTAGAGATAAGGATTAAAAGTGTAAAACAAGGTTCCACGGAGATAGATCGATAAATATTACTTTATTCACAATAATATCATCAAATATAATTAGTATGGCAGAGAAGTTATAGGATTTGCATGTTTTATTCTGGGCCTCTATTTTATAGCAAACCAAGACATAAATATAAGTCATAGGCCCCACAGTTGAAATCTAAAATTTTTGTTTGCATATTTTTAAGATTTAAAAAAAAATTGCATACTTCGTTATTTTGTGCATACTTCATGCATATTCTACATAAAAACTGTATAGTATTATTATATACTGTATAGTATATATATATTGTACACCACTCGATGCCCGTGTAGACTATGTACTATATTATAGGTACCCACATATTTTAGGTGGGCATTCGGATAATGTTATCAAAGATAAGATTTGACTGATTTTCATTTAAGTATCTATATGAAATTTTATATTAACATTATTATGTGTCCAGAGTCCACTGTCCATCAGTAATCCTGTTAGTATGGTGTTAAGTGTCGTTCGAAACGAAACTGCGTGCCATTTGTTGTGTTTTCCATGCTTACATTTTTAAAAAAATATATTTTCTACTCACATTTTGCACAATGCCAAAAATAAATGCAAATATATTTAACAAGTATGTGAAACAGTTTGGCGTAGATACATTAGCTACCGATGGTACTATGCTTTATTGTAAGATTTGCGAAGTTTATTTAAAATAAAATTAATTGTGCAATGCAATGATTTTTATATTTCTTTTATATCTAATTTTTTTTATTTTACTAAATTATAATTTAATTTTTTTGTGCATATTATCTTGCATATTTAATGAATTTGAATGCATATTTTCAATTTTTATGTGCATATTTTTCCAATTTTACCTCCTATAACTTCTCTGCCCTAATAATTAGTAATATATCATAGGCTGACGACCATCTTTGCTCGAATTGTCTTTCATATACAATGAAATTATATTTATATTATATAAAATTATATTATATTTTCAAATTTAACAGCAACAATTACAGTGAAACGCCTCTAACCTTTTGTACTGCAGAGCGGTACACACTTGCCCACCTTTTTTAATAATATATACTGAACAATATTTCTTAAAATACAAAATGTATAGGTATGTATTTTAAATAATATAATTAATATAAATTATATTGTTTTGCCACCCATTTTTTTTAACCTCTCAAATCTCAATTCACTTATTATTCATATAATTTCATAGTTTTTTATCTGCAAGTTAATGATAATTTTTAACTGAGTTAAGTTAAGTTAATGGAAAACATTTTAAAAAGTTTCAAATTAACAGTTAACCTAATTTAACTCCATTAAGTTAAAAGTTATATGACAATTTTCAATTAACTTATTAACTAAAGTTAAGTTAAGTTAATTTTTTTTTTTTATAAAATATCTATAAATACCTACCCAGTAATATGGTTTAAAATGATAAAAACCATAATTTTTATTGAACACATATAAACATTCAGTAAAATGTTCATGTATTTACAGTTATTTGTTTTTGAATAACAATAAAATAACAAAACCGCTAAATGAGAAATCGAGTGAATATCCAATATTTTAATAATTATGAACTTCAAACGCTCATAAAAATTTAATTTGATTTGCTTATAGACATTTTTTTTTGACATTGATAGATAAACTTATGAGTAATCTTGTATTAAATTTTCAAATCTTAGATTTAAAAAGGAACATTTTTATGAATTCTCAACACAAAATAATTTGCAAATTTTCGTGATTTTTCTGTATTTTGTCAATTTTTGAACTTTAAATGCTTATAAAAACAAACTGTGACTAAGGATTTTTAATATTTTTCATCTGTCTTTGAAAAAATATACAAGGAGCCTTCTATTGAATTTTAAATTTATTTAACCAACAAATAAAATTGTATTAATATTTTTAGAAAAAAAACTAAAAAAAAAATGGAAAATGAAAATGTCAGTAAACAGTTCAAAATAAACCAAAATATTTTGGAATGGTTATAGTGTATAGAAAATGCAAATATAAACGACCAGTGAAAATTTCGTGTATCTAAGACCATTTGTTTTAATGTTACATCAAAAACCAAATTCGATTTTGCGTAGAAATTCCCGTTTTTCCTTAATTTTTCTTTTTTTTTTTGGCGCTTTTCAAATTACTAGGAATTTTAAATTTTGACCTCAATAATGCACCAATGATATTCACTTTAAAATCGAACAAGATACTGCCGTTAAAAATCGAAGCTTTATTTCGACTACTTTTCGTGTACACAGACCCAAATAAAATAAAAAAGGTGCTCTACTGTACAGTAGGTTACAAGTGGGTCACTGTATAATGGATAGTAATAAATTTGAATTCAATGATATAATATCATTGTATAAGAAAAACGATTCTTAGTGGAGACGATATGTCAGTCTAGGTATAAGACATATTATATAATTATTGATGGTATTAAGGAAATTGACCTAGTATAGTAGGTACCTAAAATAAATTCCAAATTTATCATATTACAATATCCATTATTTACCTATAACGCGTTATACATCAACAACAAACCCTGATACTACCATAGTCCATAGATTTATAATAGTGTACTTTAAAAGTTTCTAGTACCCACGAACATATTACACAATCACAACAAAATAACTAAAATAGTTATTCTAGGTTTTTTTTTATGTAATTTTGTCCAAAGTTGAACTTAAAATGACTATAAAAATAAATTGTGTATTTTTTTAGATTTTTGGTAACATAATAAACAACTTACGTGGAATCTTGTTTTTAAATTTTCAATCCTTAGGTATAAAAGTTGAACATTTTATAAATTTTTAACTACAAAATAATTATTAAATTTTGTCAAAATTGGATCCTTAAATGCTTATAAAAAATAAAAAATAATTGTGCCTATGTATTTTTAGCCTTATATTAAATTTTTACACTTTTTTTCCGAACAGATAAAACTTTATTGATATTTGTAGAAAAAAAAACTAAAATAATTGAAAACTGAAAATGTCCATAAACAGCTCATAAAGAAGAGTCAAAAGATTTTCAAAATTGTATAGTGTATAAGAAATGCTAATATAAACTGCTAATATAGGCATATTCAGTGTACACAATACACATATTATATTCATATTATTATATACCTACATGTTGTATCGTGTACAAAGTTTGATGTCCGAGAGTGATATATCCTCCTATCAAAACCCCTATAGAATTTATTATTACACTGTTACAAAATTATGTTTGAAATTTGTGTATAAATTATACAATTACGCACTACGAAGAATTCCTAAAAACCTCACAATAATGTCGGGGGGATCACAATCCCTCCCAATCACTAGTTGTGACACTGGTTTACAATACAATTTAAACATCATTTTGTCCGGGAAATTATTGAGCACACCTCCTCGTATATTCAAATTGATTTATAAATAAGCTGAAATATTTAGTATAGTATATAGGTACTAGGTACTTATTGATTGAACATTTTCCGATCTACTATTGTATTTAATTTTAACACATACATTAGTTTTTCTATTTTGGCTTTGGCATATATTTTATTCTAATGGTTACCTATGTTCATTATACATTCCTATTTATTTTCTAACTACACTGATGCTGTGGTAACTATTCAATAGACTCTAAAATCAAGATAATACGTCACACCTAGGTACTAAGAAGATGTCCAGGAAATTCTCAATTACTTAATTAAAATATTGTTTTAATTATTTTATGTGTATAATATATTATATTACATTTTTAAAGTATATTTAATATTTAATGTGATGTTTTTAATTTTGTTTTTTAGTATTGAATATGAGTTGACCAGTTTAATTGTACTTCGTTTATGTTTCTTTATATGGAATGTTTTTTGTGTTTGTAAGTTTACACCTAATAATAATACACGAAACAATAAGTACCTAACTATCATATTAATTATAAATGTTAAAATATATTACTTAAATTATAGCCATTGATGTGCATTGGTTATTGAAAACGTGTGTATATCATCAAATAATTAGTGCAAGAACAAGAAATACGGACCAATATTTGATTATGGCCGAAACAAATAAACTAATAATTGAATATTAAGACAATGATTTAAATATTACGTTTATATATTTTAAAAAGTTGGGTGAGTGGATGTAGCTCTGCTGTATGGTAGGCTACAATATGGTGTTAAATTTGAATTCAATGATATAATATCATTGTACGAGAAAAACGAATCTGAGCGAAAACAGTCAGTCACCCTATGATATTACGAAGTATATTTGAAGATATTAAGGTGAATAAAGTAATTTATATATAACCTATTTACGTGGAATCTTGTTTTATATTTTCAATCCTTAGCTATAAAAGTTGAACATTTATACATTTTTAACTTCAAAATAATTATTGAATTTTAAATGTGATAAATGTTACGTCTCAACTGAGGTCGATATATACATCAACGCAGGAATGAATAACTGATAAATAAAATAAAACTAACCTGTATCCTCAAATTCGTCCATTGCGTTCATACATATAATATCATCGTCGGATACCGCATTCGATCCACCAGCCGGGACATCTGGTACAAATATCTGCGGCGCGATTTGAATATCTCCCTGCGGAGCGGCAAGAGGCGCGAACTGTATGACGCTTGGTGGTCGTGCTGGTTGAGCGGTGATCGGCGCAGCGGGTATTGGTCTCAAATGAGCCGGAACGTTTACGATACCTTAGGAAAAATAATATAAATTAATATTGTATAAGATAGAAATAAAACTTTATATTATTAATACATACCATGAATATTCTTCATATGTTTGTTGAGCCCGGTTTTGTATGCGAATGTTAATGGGCAAGCAGTGCACGGAAAACGTACACCCATATGTTTTTTTTGATGTGCGACCAAATTGCGTTTCATGGTGAAAACTGACGGACACTGATCGCAATTAAACATGTTTAAAATGTTTGAAATGAAAACAAACGAAAAGAATATAGTGTTTAAACACTGACAAAATTAAACACTTGAAAAAATTGTAAATACTGTTGAGTAAGGACTGTGAAAACACGAAGACAGCAAAGGCAAAGTAAACGTGAAGGTATGGGTGTCTGGAACAGACTGGCTCTGTCTATGCAGACAACGGAGCAAGTGTCCAGAAATCTGAGCATTTCAAGCCGTGGGTTACCAAAATATTAATCGGGTATTTACTTTGATAAATGTGTACATCACTAGTTATTACCAATTATTTTAGGAACCATCGTTTATCAGTAAAATTTCCAGGAATTCGTCTGTGCGTGTTGACAACAGACCGGACGAAACAGGTCGTTCCGCCGACAATAGAACAATAGAACTTTTACTACCAATACGTGCCTAACACAATGTTGTATATTTCTATACACAACCCTTACTCGATGAAGCCTTACAAAAATATGACCTAAATGCTACTTTTAAAATTGCCGCTAACATAACCATCTAACAATAGATTTTCGTCCCATCTTCTTACAATAGATACCCCTTTCTGCCAGTGGTGGCGTGAACATTTTTCATTCTTGAGACAAAAACGTTTTTAGGGTCCACCCACCCTCAAAAGAGTTTACGAATTACGAGTGTCGAGTACATTTATAATAATAGGTACACACTACACACCATATAAAAGTAATAAACATGACCCGGGTCTCATAAAACCCTTGTCGCACGCCGCCAATGTTCTAAGATATTACATGAATACAAAACGAAGGGTATAGTCACAACCCTTGTTGAAGAATGTCATTGTTAACAATAACTAGGGTATGTCGGGACACTTTGATCTGTTGTTGACCGCATCCGAGCACGGACCATGCGCCAACCTGTGGCCTTTTTTCAATATTTATTTTTTGAAAAATTTAGATAATATATACAAAACGGTCGTTCGATGCATACATAATATATGCGCATGCGCGAAAATATGTTGTACGCATGCGCTATACAATGACGAGCAAGGACGGGGCGGGGTAAAATATACGTCGCGCACGTGCGAGATCGGGCGGCGGCGATGACGAGCAAGGATAATGGGATCATGGGATAATGGGATCATGGGATCATGGGATCATCGGTCTGAACTCTCTATTTTATACTACTATTAACCTTCAAGTATTATGTAAGGACATTACATTCAATCGTTTGAATGGATTTAGGTATGAGTAAATTATACGCCAATGAACTCAAATGAGGGCTCTGCTTTGTGTGTAGATTACAATAATATCATATTGCTCACAAAACGTCCTCCTGCATTCTCACTAGTCAGACTCTTCGATGCAGTCCAGTTGAATGTTCCATTCATATTATGTATAGTATGCATGGTTTGTCCCGGTGGAGTAACAAATGCATCAAATGCATTCAAAAATTTATATTATATTTTTAACGTGTATATATTAATGACTGTTCTAGGAGGAAATAATACCAGGGTATTTTTTTTTAAAAAAGTAAGTGAGTGCAATTTATTACACGACGACGATATTTTACCTGAAACCTTACACAACTGAAGTAAAGGAATATAACTGACATTTGATTAGTCTAAAAAGTTTCCACGAAAAGACGTATATATGACGTATGAAAAAAATATGTATTATAATTTATAATATGTACATTGTACCTACAATATGAAATTCATTGCACGTGTGACAACAAAATGTTCGTTTTAATGTGTATAACCTAATAAACACGAGTCTTATTCTAAGTTGCGACCTACAATATTGAATCTTATGATTGATTCGATTAAGATATTGTATGGAGTCATATTTATTACACATTACCAAAATGATATTTCTGATGTAAAAAATATAAATTGTACTGTACATGAATATTGATTATTCATTTATTCATGCTCTACTCTGGATAGGTAATATGCAGTCAACTCCACCGTGCTCGACGCATTTTTGCATTTATCGAGATTATTTGAATATTATGTGGGCAACTGAATTTTATTAATTTATTCCTAACGTAATAACAACCATTGCATTTTTGAATACTTATGTGTTGTACTTATGTGTTGTACTTACAATATAAATCATAGAAGTATGTCTTCTTCTAGATTTTCATATTTCTGGCTGCAGATAACGAGACTGGATATTTTTGGAGAAATGGTACATATTTTATGAACAAAGTAATATTATTTAGATTATAAAATATAATGGAATGGTTGTCTCTAATGAAATTGACCATTAAATATTCAATATTATTTAGAAATTTTTGATATGACTGACAAAAATGTCATGCCTACTTGAATATCTCTTGAAAAATAACGGTATTTACATCAGTCAAAAGTTTTAAATGTTTGTGGGTAAATTTACGGATTTATTATTGAAGAAACATTGAGTATAAAAAGTGAATTAAATCAATTAATACATTAAGTTATTTGTATGTAATACATGTTACCTAAATCGAAAACGTAAATGTAAAAAACTTAACTCATTCAAAAATATATTGCGTTTTTTCAATACATGTATTGTATTAAACAGAGATAAAAATCTACAAAAAAAATGTTTGAGTATAAAAATGATTATCTTAACACTTAAAAAATTACCTTTGATTCTTAAGCCATTCGAAAAGTGAAAGCCCTAAAATGTATATTCCTATTATACACAAAAAAAGACGTTCTGGATACAGTCATCAGACTTTGAGTACTCATGTATATATAGTACGTATCACTTTATTATGGATTTTAGCAGTAACGTTTTAATGATATCTAAAATAAATAATAAATTATCGAATAAATTACATCTTATAACACACGGTAGAGCTTTAACTGTTTATTGCTAAATTTACGTCCGAAATTTGAAAGGGTAAACCCTTTAATATTATGTGAAACCATATTATAGGGTGCTATACTAGATTGTTGAAGATAAAGATTGTCACTAGGATTTTTGTTCCAACATGGCTCAAAATTTGCTATTGCCATTTTCAACCTTCTGACATCGGAAAGTTGTACTGATTTTCTATTATTTCTAAGTGATAAGGAATAATTTATTCTGTAAGAATACTGTTATTTATACTATTTCTAACAAGAACTTTTGGTCTGAGTAGGTATCGTAACTGCAGGAAAATTGTTGTTGATTGGTTTACATTCTATAATACCTACACATTTTCACAATGTTCTCCTTTTTACCAATATTTTCACCAAACCTATCATATATCTACTAGTTTATTTGTTTTATTATCGAGTTGTTTTAATAGCTGGTGTCATATAGCGGTATATTGTTAAAAAGACAAACATGTAAGTAGTATATATATACCATTCCTGGCGCACCTCATAATATATCAGTAAAAGATCACAAAGAAAACAATGTGCAAAAAGATCAGAAAATTGAAATGCAATAATAATTAAAAAAATTTTTCGCAAAACTTATGAAATGCAATAATAATTAAAAAATTTTTTCGCAAAACTTATGAAATGCAATAATAATAAAAATATTTTCCACAAAACTTAATTATTAAAAATAAAAATCGAAAAGCAATAATAATAAAAATATTTTCGGCAAAACTTAATTATTAAAAATAAAAATCGAAATGCAATAATAATAAAAAAATTTTTCGCAAAACTTATTAAATACATTTTCACCCCCAAAATATTTTTCATAATACTTATGATATTAATAATTAAAATCGAAATGTAATATAGTGTATTAAAAAATATTTTTAATAGAATTGTTCTATTAAAAAAAGTCTAACAACAAACTAGTGAACATTAAATATAGTTTTCAAACCAATTATTCATTATATGATCCGATAATTCATTATGAATTTTCTTAAAATAATCAAATAATTTCTTAAAATTGTTTTTGTAACGATTGTAACTATACTTATTATCATAAGATTGATATAAAGATGATACATGAGTTTCTAAATTATACATAGATGATTCAATTTCTGATAACTCTTTTAGTATATTTTTATACTTTTGGATCATATCTAAAAATTGTTTACAATTTTCCATTTCTAAAAGATTTTTACAATTTTCCATTTCTATTATTTATATTAGAAAAAAAAATTTTTTTTAACATTGTTCTATTAAAAATATTTTTCTAATCTTTTTGATTTTGATTTCTAATCAGTGTATTGAGATGGTTTACAAAATCGTTTCTATCTATGTTTGTTTTATAATGTCCCCAAGCTAATGTATCAATACCATTTTCCAAAATAAATCTTTTATCATCATAAACACTTAAAGCTTTTTTGTTTTGTTCTACAGTAAAAATATCATGTTTCTTAGTTCTAAATAAATTTTGTTTAACATATTTTGATTCTTTTGTTAGTAAACATTTTTCAAAATCATTAAAACATATTTTATTTTCTACAACATTTTTTTTAACACCTTTAGCTTTTTTAATTTCTTTTTCAGTATCTAAGATTCGATGAGAATATAATTTAGATCTTAAACCTATAAATTCAGTCATTATTTTTCCATTTAACTCATCTTTAAACTTGCCTAAAACTTTTTTGTTAACTAAAGGTAAACTATAAATATTATCTTTTGGATAATCTGATGTGTCAAAATGATCTAACATAATTTTCATATCTTGATAAAAATCATTAGTTTTTATTTCTAATATTAGTGAATCTGTATCTGTGTATAACAATCTAACTCTATTTCCATATTTTTTCTTTATAATATTATAATAAAAATCATACATTAACATTTTAGATAAATCTAAAATACACATTCCTACATATATTGGTTGTTTGAAAGATATTTGTGTTCTTTTCATATGTACGGCAGCTAAATTTTCTGTAAAAATTGTTCTTCGATCAAAATTTGGTTTTGTAATTAATTTTTCTAGTTGGTATGCATTAGAACATAATCTTATATCAACATGATTTCGAACATTCATCATAGTACGTCCATAAACACTATTATTCATTAATTTGAAAAATTCTTTTTCAAACTCATTCTTAGCTTCTGATCTAAGATTAGTATTAAA